TATCCATCATGGCAACGACCCTATCTAAATTAAAATTACAAGCGATTAATATGTCAGAGACACTTGAAGTTGAGATACCGTTGACAACAATAGCGTAAATGTGTTGTGTAGTGCACGAGTATTCGCACGTTTTAGGGGGCACACTTGTATGTATGTAAACATATGCATACATAGTCTTCCATCTGCTAGCGCGTAAATGTACATGTGTATGTATTTTTTTTTTTTTTTTTAAGAGTTGATTGCTTTTCATTGCAACTTTTGAATAATTTTTCTGCTATTTGCTTGTATGGAATTTGAAAGTTTTTTTTTTTTCTTTTTTTTTTGTTGTCCATTATTGCATGGTCACGTCAGCTTTAAAGTTAAAATTAATGCGAACGAAACGATTCGTTAAAAGTAATGTATATATGCGGATTTACGTAAATAAATTTTAATAATTAACTCCATTCATATTGAAATGGATATATTTAGTCAGCACTTTAAAGAAGAAGACACAAAGAAATGATTTATTTAATAAAAAATTTTAATAATTTCAATCCTATTGCTGTTCGCTTGCATACCATTTAACTGTTTCTCTGTCTTCGGCTGTGGAAGTTTTCAGCAAAAGGTTTCATGACGCGAGCTAGGAATTTGAAATTACTTTGTTTTCTTTTCTTTTTTTTTTTTTCTTTCCTTTCCTTTCTTTTCCTTTGGGGTTACTATTGCATGTTTTTTAATATGGATTTGATGCACAGATGTTTTTCACTTGTCATCATGCAAACAATTTCATGTTTTATTTCATTTGCTTTTTGCTGCACACAAGCTTAAAATATTATTATTTGTGATATTATGACTGCATACATATATACATATATCTCATTGCTTTCTATGAATGAATGAATGCCTTAATCACAGAGTTAATAATATTTTTATTTTTCATTTACTTGATCGGGTCTCTATTATAATTGTTAATTAAAAAAATTTTGAAAAATTTTTAAACTAAAAGTCGTGCAGCTTATGTTTATGTAAATAAATAAATATTTCAATTTACAAACATATATATGCTATACCCATCGTCAAAAGAATTGGAAAATCCGTTCTCAATGACGTTTAATCGATAGGTATTTTGAAATGTTTATGGCGTAGAAAAAATGCATATTTCTTAAAATTATCGCATCGCTCAATAAGTCCCCGGTCTAACACATATACGTCAACACTGTTAACAGACTCACATAACTTCGGCATAATACCAATTTTCAAACAATACGTGTCCTCCACTTTTAACTACTTTTTTGCTCACTTTGCAACACTTTCGTCGATTGCTAGTTACTCGCTTGACTGCCGATTTGACTCTGGAATGTTGTAATGTGAATTCATATATTATCCAGTGTCACATATCGCATCAAAAATATTCTTTACATTTCATCCGAAATAATACGAAAGAGTGAAACAGTGCCCTATCGACCCGATATTGGTGAACGTGACCAAATGTGGCGTACAGTTCGAACAGAGCTTTCTTTTGGCTAAATGTTCATGGAAAACAGAATATGCACTCCCTTTTGATGTCCTCACCTTGCCAGCCATTTCACGCAACTCCACTTTTCAGTCTTCCAAAAGGATTTTGCATCAATTTCGGGGTGCCAGAGCATTCAGCTTTTATATGACTATGTCTAAAATTAGCAAAGCAATCACAAACTTTTCTTTTCGACAGCCAACAACCCGTCATAACACTTTCCAAACCAAATGCTGACTTTGAACAAAAAGCAACATTTGATCGACATATTTCAGATTCAGGTTCAGATCGCGAACCCGATTCAGACATTTTGATTGTTTTGAAAATTACAAAAGTAGTGTCACTTGTAAACGAATGGTCATGAAACTCATGAAATTTTGACGCTCACCGTTTGAGGACTGACTGATGCTATTCAGAAGACATAAGGCGTCTGTCAACAATGATGTCATATATATGTATCGGATAGATGATTTGTCGCATGATGTGCTAGGTCATCGGTGATTGTAATTCAGTCACTGTTAATTCAAAATCGGGAGATATGAAAGTAAAATTGGAAAATTTCTCATTGGAGTTTCACAAATTTTGAATCAAAGGTGAACAATACTCAGTTGAAAACTAAACAGTCGTCCGTTAAAAACCTATCAAATGACATCAAACATGATCAGATTAAGTTGCATGATTTGTCAATTGACAAGCGGAAATCGGTTAGCCAAAATTAGGGGCGGGGGGGGAGAATAACAAATGTTAGCTGGCATTGTGACAGTAAATAGTTCTCAGCATTTCGCTATGCAGTATAAAGATGAGAAAGAATGAGAATGAAAACAGAATGAAAATTATCATTAGAGAGAGAGAGAGAGAGAGAGACCAGGCAAACTATTCGTAAGATACAAACAGGTGCTGTATATTGCTTTTGTGCCGAGTACTGGCCAATTTACTATGGGTGTGGGTGTGTGTGTGTGTGTCTGAAGCCATACCATTTGCCTTCTATTCTCGCTACCATTTAACGTAGTTGGTTGCAAAACATTATATTAAAAATAAAATCTCATGTGAAATTTCTAATCGGCATATTAAATATATTTCTCCGGAATAGCGTTGCAAGAATAGAAGTGTTAATCAGTGTTGCCATATTTTTGCCAAAATCATAATATATAGTGCAGTAGATGTATGTCGGAAATCTCATACATCAGTACGTTAGTCCCCGGATAGTGGAAAAACCTTATGGTTAGATTTTATGCAAATATCTTTTAAATAATTTTTTTTTTTTTAAATTATTATTATTATAATAAATTTAGCCAGAGAATAAATTCTAAGACCAAAATCTTAAAGCACTAGCATTCTAAGGCTTTCGACTTTTGTTAAAAACTCTACCGCACTTGAGATTTGAACCCATGGCCATTGACTTGCTAGTCGAGACTCTTACCTACTCGGGCACTCAGGCGAATTTTTTTTTTTTTTTTTAAATAAAATGGGCAAGTACTATAGAAATTTATTTTGAACTTTTACTCGCTTTCCAATCAAAAAATGCTTCAATTTTCGAAACTTTTTAATGAATACTTTCCGATCCGATGAATACAGCAGATCCAGTGATAAAATCAGCCATCTTTTAAAAAAGAAATCCTCTTTTGTCCGAGTCGTAGAAAAACCAACGCATAGAAGAGTGCCTTGATTAAAAATGAAAATCTGAAGAATTTCGTAGACGGATAACAAGTTCCGTAGGAATTGAAGAAAGAACAAAGAAGGGAGGAAGCATTTCTAAAAAAACTAACCCAATCGCCAAGAACTTGATATTATTCGAATGCAATCAAATGGCCGCTTGAGTACTACTTCTCAAGTCGACAATCCAGAACAATCCAGATACACAGAACTTAATTGTGCGGGATGCTTGTGAACAACGTCCCTTTATCAAAGCAATGAGATTATTTTGTGACCGTTTAGCCCAATTACGGAGAACCATCCTCACTTGTTGGGGGATAGCAGTACATAGTTATGTTGTTGTTGTTGATATTGGTAAAAATTCTCTCAGCGAGGAGAAGGTCATTTAGCATTGAGGTGAATCAAAGTTTGTCTTGTCGTTCTAAAGCAACCATTTCTGAAGTCATAAAAGTTAAGATCATCGGCTTGTAGTCGAACGTTGAATATTTGCAAGCCACACACAAGCCCGTGCACAAAAATTGTATTTCTTGCACATTGTAAATCCCAAGCTTTTATTTATGGTCTTATAAAAGCTACTTTGGGAAAAAATTCGTTTCCACCTATTAGTTAATTAAAATAAAGGCTTATTTAAAAAAAAAATAAAAAATATTGTTTTTGTATATCTTATTATATCTCATGTCGGCAATAAATGATTATTATTCATATGTACGTTGAGGTTTTTATTCAAGACCAACTTTCGATGTATTATTTGTCTTTCTTTGTATTATTACTTATTGTAACTTATTGTTTGGCATTGTTTTTTATACTCACTTTCCATTACTGCGATTTCTATTGTTTTAAAAATTCAAGAGCAGTGTTTTTGTTGTTCCGTCTTTCTTCATTTTTCTCTTCAACAATCTCGCTTCTCTAGTTGATCATGTGAGCTAATGATCTATGATCTTAAAATTTTTTATTTTTTTTGCATATATCTTAATTTTAATTGTTGCTGCGATTGTATGTGATCTACTTTTTATATCCAATAACGAAGGTTGGAGGTATATTAACTTTGTCAAAACACTTGCAACATTCAGGAGAAAATTTCAAAAGCCCTATCGAGAATGCCTTTGACGGTCTTTGCGTTAAAGGTCTATAAGCTCGGTACCTTAAAAAGGCAATCGTTGATGTCAAGATTCGCAAAATTATTGATTGGATATGAAAAAGCGGCAGGCCCAAAAATGCGGTAAAGTTTCTTCGCTTGGTTATAGAGGAATTTCGTGAGCTTAATTAGTTGCCGTGCGATCATGATGGCCATATGGGAAACCCGAAAAGATGATCGCAAACTTTGGCTCGGTGGGAGTGAAAAATTATAAACATAACAAAAACGATGATAAGAAGAAAAAAAAAAATCTTTAGGGTTTTAATAGAAACAGAAGCCGGCTCTTATTAACGCAGTTAGTTCGTTAAGATGAGCGTAATTGTGAACTGATCTGTTTGTCTATTCGTCTGTGAAACATTGGAAGTTTATGTTGGTAGATTGATATTCAAATACGGATACGTCTGCGGTATAAAATATAAACTGAAAACACTTTTGGCCGATTTTCTTTGCCTGTGTACTCATAAAACGCCACAGAAATAATCATAAAAATTTCCACCCACTTTCTATGGGTGACAAAAAAAAAAAACATAATCGACCATGGCCATCTAATATTCGAAACTCGAAACATCATTTATATCGTTTTTTTTTTTTTTTGTTTTAAGATGAAGGGGGTGGGTATAAAACAACCGGCCACAGTTAAATAAAATTTTTCTACTGTTTTGCAATTTTAATTAAACATTCATATGAATTTTGGGCGGATTTTTGTATTGTTTTTATTTCTAGTACGCGGGGCCAGGGGCTTACTAACAAAAGGTAAAGCTAACACCAATAATTGCTTTGTTACCATCGGCCTGGGGAAAGAACGTTATCAGACTTCAATTAAAGACAAGGCGGAGTCAAATGTCACTTGGAATGAAGAATGCGAATTGTAAGTTTGTATATTTGTGCATGTACTCCTTAATGATAGTCTTTCCATGTTAATCATATAAATTTTAGAAAAATTCCCGATCAAGGCAATCGAGCCGAACTAGTGTTGACATGTCTGCATCATAACAATTTGGGCTTAGATGAATTTCTTGGCCAAGTTACTTTGCCTTTGAATGAAATGGATGTTTACGATCGGCCACGAGCGAAATGGTTCAAGCTCGAAAGTAAACCGGGTAAAGAGAAGAAGAACAAAGAGCGCGGTGAGTTGGATGTTTTGATATCGTTTACTGTCAAATCGGGTTCTCTGACCGATCTTAGTAAAAAGGAGAAACACAAGTCTTCCATTGGCCAATTAGCCTCGTCGGTCGGCGGTAGCCTTTTATCTATTGGTACTTTAGAAAAACGTAAAGGCATCAAAAAATTTGCAAAGTCCTTGGGTTCAAAAATGCATTTGAATGGCAAGAAAAAGAATAAAGACAGCGATGATATGTCTTATAGCGGTTCATTTGCCAGCATTGGTTCGCCAAATCGTGTCAAGGTCATAGATAGTGAAGATGAAGATGATTTCCAATTTGATAATTTGTCGCAGAAGAGCTCGGTAAGCTCTTTGAATATGCGCGACGGCGTGGCAAAACATTCTCCACCTATGGGTTCAGCGGGCAAAGGCTTTACGGGAGGTAAGGACTATCTTAGAAACGATGGATCTGACAATCTCAGTGTGGATCCTGAATTGGAGCAAATTGAAAACGATTTTAGTATAAGAACGCGCACTTTGCCGCCGCCTTCCAAACCTCCACGCATAACACCTCACAATGAAATTGCCGACGCGGTGAAGCCGCCACCAGTAGATGAATGGGAAGCAAAATTATATGGACGTCATTTGGATATAGGCGGTTCGGAGTCATTAAAGAGGCGATCCTGGGAACCAGCTTGTGTACCATTGCCAACGGCTAACGAAGAGCAAGATGACGAAACTCTAAAAGAGGAGAAACAGAAGTTAGATGAGACGAAATTTTTAACAGCAATAGAAAACGAAGAATTAACTAAGAAGCATAATAATGAAAGGATTGCAGAGATAACAGCGAAGGAACCAGAAATTAACTCTCCTAGTATTAGCGAAAAAGAAGAGGAGGAGGAGATCGAACAACGGAAGCAACCACAGCAACCGGACGTAGTCTTGCAAACTGCAAAGAAGCATAATTTAAAGGATGAACGACCCAATGAGCTAAATCTGAGCAACGAAATTCAACCTCAAAAGCTTTCTTTGATATCACCCGAAAACGAAAGAGAAGAATTTGATAAATTTAATGCAACATTCGCTAAATTCGAACAACGTCATAGCGCGAAAATTTTTGATTTAGAAGCAGAAACCAATAACTTTTTGCAAAATGAAACTAAAAGTTGGAACAATGTACCCCAACCTAAACCCAGAATGCGCACACCGATTGGCGAAGAAAGTAAAACAGAAGTCCTCGAATCGAAAGTTGAGTTGATCGTTTCGCGAACGGGAGAAGAGATAAAAGATGAAAAAACGATTGAAAAGGAAAAATTAGAAGAGAAGGAAAAAGAAAAAGAAGAGGAAATTAAAGTTGAGAAACAGCGTTTACTAGAAGAGGAGAAGCGTCGTGAGGCTAAGCGGCGTGAGGAAGATCAGCGAATTTTAAATTTTGCCAAACGTTTAGTGGTGGTTGAAGAGAAAGATGAACAAACAGCTGAAGCTAATAGCACTGAACAGAAGAATAAACAAATTCCAAAAGAGACAAACGAAAGTTCAACAGTAACGAATGAATATCGAAACGTACGTCTCGCTAAATCCAGAACATTAAACAATAATGAAAATAATCATCAATTTAATAACAATCTCAATTATATAAAACGAGGTGAGAGCGTGAGGAAGACGTTAAAAGAATTGCGAACAAGTATCAGCTGGAGCAGTTTAATGTTATTGTGGTGTGTGTTTGTGTGGTTGAAACAAAGTGTAGAAGAAAATCCTTTTAATGCCAATCCTTAATTCCCACTGATGATGTTGTCGATCCAAATTTTTGAAAGCTTATTTTATTTTCATTTTATTATGCTTTCTTATATTATTCGTTTTCATTCCAATAAGAATTACCTGTGTATTAGTGTTATTTACATTTATTTTTTACATATGTTTGTGTACGTATGAGCTTGAGATACCTATATCATTAGTCTTCTTATGAAAACGCATTTGTATTTACAGCACGAACACACCGACCACCAACCACTCTCATTAAACACTCATATGCATGTTCGTCGCTTTGCTTTTAAAAAGAAAATCATATTAAAACGATTTATTTTTAATACATTATAGAAAAGCAAAATAGTTCACCATCGACCACTCCCAGTCCACAAACAGGGGAACGTATCATTATCGGTCATGAAAAGTCTATTACACAAGCTGAACGGCGAGCGGAAATATCAGCAGCTTTAGCGAAAAAGTATGAAGGAAAATCGCGAGAGGTAAGGGTTACTTACTTAATAAAATGCATATACAAATTATATGCATATAGAAATTTGCGTTTCGTTCTTATTATTAAGGAACTCATGCTTATCGCCAATGGTATGGAAAATGAAGCTTTACTGCAGCGTCAACGTGTTAAAGAGCTGGAGGACTATTTAGATAATTTGCTTTTGCGTGTTATGGAAACTCATCCGAAGCTATTGCAAAATCCATATTCGCGCACTACATCGGCAAAAAGGTAAATTATCAATTTTTTTAGCAGAATTTGCTCAATTTTGTTTCCTTTTCATAAACGCATTCATCATACCAATCAATTCACAATTACTCCCAATGCGAAATGTTTTAATGTTTAAATTCTGTTAACTCTCTTCTCACTCTTTTTCGCACTCATTAACATATTTCGAAAGCAATTATTCTCTTATATAACCATCCCTCTCTAAGGCTATTATTACTATTATTCGTATTCCTTTTAGTGTTTTCACACATTAACAACGAATGAATGATTCGGAAATTGATTAATACGAAATTTTCTTTAGTTTCAAAAATTACATCAATATGAACGATTTTTTGTAAGCATGCTTTGCGGCGCACCCTTTAACTACACATAACGCCATCAAACGCTTGCATGATATGAAATTTGTTTCTTTGTTGCCGCTCCTGATGTTTTTTTTTAAAGAAGAAACTTTTCCAAAGCACCAAGTAAGAAATTTTCTTTGATTTCTTTTCTTTTTTTTTTTTTTCATTCTTTTTAATATAATTTTTGTTTTATTTTGCTCTCAACGTTGTTTACTGTGATCATAATACGACACGACATACACAATACGATACAATATACACACAGTACAGTACAGTACAGTACAGTACAGTACAGTACAGTACACATATATATTGTTTCTAATTCAATATTCATATAAAACTCAGTAAAATGATTATGTTAATGTGCTTTATAAGCAGCTACACATGATATAAACGATCTCGTACATATAATATTTTAATTTTTGTATTTTTTAGCGGTTGATAATGTTGTTGCTGCACCGAAGTTGATTATATATGATACTACTAAAACAAACAAACAAACAAACAAACAAAAAGAAAAAGAAAAGTATTGAAAATGACAAAAACGATAAAACCACACAAAAAAATCACCATAATGCCTTCAAGTGCAAATTCGAAAAGTGCTTTTCTAAATGTTATATATATATATATATATATATATATATATATAAAATCTGTTGTTATAGTAAACTCTAACTGCATAAAAAAATTGCGTAAAATAATTTTTACTAATTATTATATAAAAATTTAAGAAAACGTTGGTATTTTTATTAAAATTTAATGTAAAACAAAAGAATGAAAAATAAATGAACAGAATAATTAATTATGTACGACTCCATCCAAAAAAAAAAGAAAAATATATTAAATATGCCTATTATTGTGAACATTATTTAAGAAATAATCTTTGGATATTTTTATTTAACAATTGGATAAATACGTATATTAATAATTAAATAAAAATGATAATATTTAAATACGAATTTAAATTGCGATTAAATACATTCATGGACACACAAATAGTACACACTTGATATAAAGAATACCCACACTATTTAAGAGATTTCGAAAATAAGTGCAAAATTTTTCCTTTTATTAAAAAAATATAGTTTAAACTATGTATACAAGAAATTTAAAAATGTTTAAGTAGTTAATATCAAAAATTCATTTAATAAAAACAATCTAAACTTATGAGAATTGGACATAGAAGTAGTGTAAATTAATAATAGTAACAATAATAATTAAAACCCAAGTCGTTTTTTGTGTTACTGACTGAACGTTCCGTTCCTTATATTTTGAATTGTGTATTTCTGCTTCGCATCTGAAATCAATGCCTTTCCAAAACCTCTGCCTTGTCTCTCCTTCGGCATAGAGCAACCGGATTTTTTTGATATGCCATTTATTTTATCATTATTTTTAAATAATGATTTTGTCTTATTTTCTATTTCCTAAATTTTCGATCGATTGCTCTCCATTTCAAAACTTCAATTCTTTTTTCCAAAAGCCAACAATTTATAATTATGGATACCGGGCATAGAAATTGAATTTATTGCTAAAAAGGCGAAACCTGTCCAACTTGTCTTTCATCTTTCTAATGGGCGTTCCCAAGAGCAGCCCCAAACCCTTACAGGGTACTTCTATCATTTATTTAGATGTTTTCTAGCGGTGTTTGGACGATCCAAAATGGATTGCCAACTGGTTATACTATTCAACTAATTATGCTATTCAACTATCCTAGTTTTTGTTCAACTGGAAAATGACGAGCCAAAGAAGTTACCTTCTGTCCATCTGTCCAAGAAGATATGTATAACTAATGCTCCTTACCTATTTTGCCGATATGCTTACAGCAAATTCTTCGCTAACTTTGTTCGTGTTTTTCGCTAGAGCGTAAGTAGACCTCGTTGGTTTCACCAAGAATTTATTTCGTTAATGGAATCAAGAGTTTTTTTCTGATTTCGGCTTGCATGTTTTATTTTAAATAGTATTCCTCCTCACCAATTATTACCAATGTATGTTATCATAAACTATTTATCTGGAACTTTGCTAACACTAGAGGCGGTTTACATATCTCGTTATCGATACAAAAATCGTCAGATTTGTTTTTGGGTTGATAGCACTCTATTGCTTTCGTATTGAGTTAGGCTACTCGTTTGTTGAAATTACAACGGAATATTTGTGATATCGTCGGTATGGGTATAACAAAATAAGTCAAGGAAGAAGGAAAGTAAGTAAATAAACAAAAAAAAAAAAAAAAAAAAAAAAATGGAAAATTAAAAAGAAAAAAAACGGTGAAAAAATTAAAATTCATTAAACAAAATCATAAGGCAAAGTTTAATAAATTGTATAATATTTATTATACTGTTTACATAAATAGTGCAAACCTCTTCTTCTTAATAGTTAGCTTGATATTTATTTTATATTTTCCCTATTAAATTTACTTATTTGTGGATTATCCAAATAGCTCCTTTTTCGTTTATATAAATTTTTACATTAAGTCCACATTCATCGATTCCGTTTCAAATTTGAACGCATCAACAGGCAAAAGCATCAAAAATGATTACTTTATTTTATTATACATTAATTTCAGGGATTAGATAATTTGATCAAATGCGTGATTTCATGACAATGTTTTGCTTATTGTCCATTTGAACATTACGTTCGACAGCTATGTTTATTTCAAGCTTCGTTTCAGATAGATAAAAATATGTAAAAGTTCTATAGTGGGATACTCACTATTAAATGCTCTACATCGTTTCGGTTGTGTCGACATTTCAAAATAAGTTATTATATGGAAAGTGGTTGAAAATGCGATCCGGCGCAAACCAAACCATTTGCAGTAGCGTTCGCCCTTGGGCTAAAATACGTCAATGTATCAAATTTCATCGAAGTATTTCAAAGACTGCGGCCTTTAGGTCGAACACATGAAAACAACATGGACAGACAAGTTTAGATCTATTCAGAGAGTGATTTTGAATCAATCGATACAATAAAGGGTGGAACGATCTTAAATCCTTTCTGCATGTTGCATACACAATTTGTGTAGGGTACAAAAAATTGGATCTCGACTGTTATCTTACCATTTCCTTTCCGTAAAATTCGGAAATGTTAGGAATGAGCAACTGCTGTTTATTACATTAAGTAGTAGAGTGATAATAATTAAATTCAATCACACGCTATTTTCGTATCGGTGTTCAAGCGGAGTTTAATTTCTTTGATGTTGTTTTTCCAGTACTTTGCGGTAATATGCGAAATTCCATATATCGTTCCTCACATTACAATACACACTTTGTTAGTAGTGTCTTTGGATCTGCATGTTTTACATATAAATACGATTGCATTTTAGCGAAGCTTCGGAAGATGACAATTGGCTTTGATGAGTGAACGACTCAGTTGTGTTCGGTTAGAACATACATTTCGTAATTTTCAGATTTTCAGAGAGTGGAAAGAGTATTGTGGCACTGTAGAAAGTACTTTGAATGGCCCAAGTCTATCGATTGCATGCTGTGCTCAGGAATGCAATCCTCGGCCAGTTTATGGCGCGTAGGCTTGTATTTGTTTGTAATGGGAACCGATACAGAGCTACTTTAATCGGCGATCGAATCCTAAATCGTATCCGCTTAATAAGCTTACGAAAGTTGCGCTACGTAAAAAGAAGTTAAGTGAGGTAAATTCATACAGAAAATTCGTATATGTGCTAATCCGCTACTTTGTTTTGTGTCGAAAATAGCCGAAAATGTTCGAAAATGAAGATACGTCCATTTTTCAGGACGTCATTGTAATTGAAAATTAGACTGCGCCTATTGTCTGGCAATAAGAGAAAAGAGAGAGATCGTTTACTTAAGAACCGGGAAATACAACAATGCTTTAAAATATTTTAAAGGAGACTTGGGTGCATGTTGTCGACGTTTGGTGTGTATTCGGATAAGTAAGTAATTTGATTTACGGGCCGTAGCTGATGTTCCAGAAAAGTTCCTCTCGACTGTTTTACACTTTCGTCGCTTTTTGTAGCCCTCAATATTTATTCCCTTAATTGTACCAAACTAAGGTCCTGTTAGCGTTTAATTAATTCTGTTAGAATGAAGACGTTCCTTTTAGTTTAGTTCAGATATGACAACTGATGGCTCAGTAGCCTGCCTTTGTACATTGTCGTGAAGGTGTCATTTTTTATTCTCTTAAACGATTCTATAGGGAAACCGTAGGCTATGGCTGGTGGCAATAGCTTGCCGCTTTTTCATGATATTCTCGGCGGTATCTAAAGGCAAAGCTTTTGAAATACTCAACATGCTCAAAAATAATAAGTGATTGGTCCTGCAGTTTTTAAAGAATTCTCTGCATATTCTCCTTTAAAAGGATTTTTAGAATTTAGATAGAGAAATTTGATCCGGTCTTTCGCAAGGCTCCATATAGGGGCTAATTTAATATTAGTATAGCTATAATGCTCATTTGCATGCAGAAGATGCAGGATTTAAGTCGAATAAATAACATTGTGAGTAATTTGAAATTAAATTCACTTAAATCAAACCCATAGCTATAACACTTGTAAAGTGTAGTATGGATTATCCTTCTTGTATCTTATTGGCTGACACGGTAATTGAGTTTTTGTCAATGTTGTGACGAATTTTAAAGTCGAAAGTTATTTCCACACCAACAGCTGATCAGCTTATGTCCAATTCACAATAATGAAGACTAATAATGCTCTAAGAAAGCTTTTTCTTTCTCTTTAGCTTTAGCAGGGAGTAAGTTAGGATTGATTAAGCGTTTTGGTGTTTCGTTGATATCGTATGGCATCGATGATCGCGACAACCGTAAACATACTCATTTATAATTTCATATATGTACCGCATTATGCTATCAGTTACCTTCCATACTCTACACCACTTGTGATATAACATTCAGAAGGACCTAAGATCAAATCCACCTTTTACTACATCGATCAATTCAGAAAGTGATTTTGAATCAATCGAAGGTTCCCTGGTCCTTTCAAATTCTTGTGTTCAAACTATAGATCGCAATTCATTAGATATTCTGATGGAATTTGCTACATCGACGTGTTTTGGCCCAACGACGAACGCTATTGAAAATGATTCAGATCGAATCACTTTTCCGACGACTTTCAATAAAATGCCTTAGTTCGAAAAGTCGTTATATATGAATAATTGTATTAAGCGTAGTGGTAGTGTAAGCCATTTAATCGTCGATCGTGTTCCACTATAATGTTTTTATTCCTTTTAGTCTAGTTAATGCAAACTTTGCACTTCCTTTTTATCTATCGATTTTTTTTTAAGGAATATTTTTTATTATTGATATTATCATTAATGGACTAAATTAAATCAATTATGCTGGCCTAAGTTTAATCTATAATAACTACTGATATATTTTTAGTATGTAAGTCATATATTTTTTTTGAAATATGTAAACATTGTCCGGAGAATACATGAATGCATTTTTTTATTTATTTTTTTTTTATTTAATATCTTTTCAATATAGAACGGACTCCGCATGTGGCGTGAGTAGATCTATCTAAAATTGCAAGTCAACGTTCAACAAATACAACACAAAACTATTTCGCGGTGATCCTGCATTCGCATTATGTTAAATACATTTATATAGAAGGAGAAATTGCACAACAATTAAACAGTATTAAGACAATTACCTCATTGCGCTTCAAGGGGTAATACAGCTGTAACGCAAACCTTTCATATATACTTTTCTTTTTTTTTTGGGTGAACAAAAAGACGATTAATTGATAATATTCGAGGAGACTATTAAGCATAAAAGTATTAAAAAAAAAAAAAAAAAAAGAAAAAGATATTCTTCGTCATTTAAAATCCTATAGCAAGAGCTCCTCGTATTCTAGAAAAAGTATTGATTTTTGTTTGCATGGCAAGTGCTTGAATGAGATCGATAATAGAAAATATTTGTAATCCTACTAGGTGCACTAGGCATGGTTGTTATAAAAATGTTGTGAAAAAAATGCAAACGAAAAGAGTGAAATTTGGTAGAGTTACACTGCATGCCGTTTGTGTTTCGAGAAGAACGCATTCACAGCTTTAGTGGGATATGTTATAGGCTTGTTTTTTTGTTACAAAAAAACATTGATTATTATTTTTGTCTATTAGTCCGCAATACCTACACCGTAGCTCCATCCATCTTATCCTCGAAAATGTTGTTTTTGCCGCTTCTATCAAACAGAGAACCGTACGTTTTACACTTTACATGCGTATATATGACAGAGAAAATGGCAAAAGCAAAAAAGAAATTATGTTGTATTATGTTTTTAATCGAATTGATAGCCAGCTCTAACAAACGCCTCTTCCAAGCATTTCATTAAAATTCTTGCAATTCTTGAAATACTGCTTTCAACTTCATAACTACTTCATATCTACTTCAATGATTGTCACAATGAAGCTACGCTAATATATTATTGTATTAGGAAACGCTCATCAATAAATACACATACTTACTAAATCCATTTCTTACTGTATTAGAGTAAGTTAGGAGCTACCAGATAAGGGTTTATACTATAACTTTTCAGCATGGCATTCGGTTCGAAACGATTGGAAATAAGCGCAAAATTTTAAGTAAAATCTTTCGTTTAGGTAGCAAATGCTCCATATTTTCTCCAAACATCCTGAAAGAAAGCATATGCACATATATCAAAGCAATAAAGGAATTTTTGCTTTTCAAAAAAAAAAAAAAAAAAAAAAAAAACAAGAAAATGAGTCTTCTTCTGCAAGTCAGCAAATCAAGCGTAGATGATTCATTGTGTTGAGTAAACAATTTTGAAGCAGATATGATGCCATTATCCTTTAATTTGATGATGTTGTTATTGTTGTACTTGACAACATCCTACTTTTATATATTTCTCTCATATATATTTTAACGTAAAATCTCTTTTGTGATTTTTACGTTTCACATTCAACGCCTTTTCAGATTAAGTTCGTATCACTGAATTGTCAGTTTGTATGTTAACGTAGATCTTATTTGCAATTCTTAAAAGATTTATTTACCTACGAGCTATTTCGAATATTACGAATCAATTCTCTGCACTCGACTGACTCTGCTTTACATACCCTTTTGACAAGCAATTTACCAATACTTCATTTTATTGGCCAATAATGTTTATGTTAATACGTTCTTAGAAAATCGGCTACCTTAAAGACTATAATGGGCCTAGGCGCACTATAAAAGGCCTTTCGTTCCCTTCAATTATTCAAATAATGAATTTGCAAAATAAGCCGATCCGATCCGATTCGATTCGATTCGATTCGATTCGAGCCATTTCCAAATTTTGGACCCAAAAACGTTAGTGTATCAAATCTCATCAATATTACCTTTCAGTCTTACATTCTGCGATTGTAAGAGTTTCAAGACACAAATGGCGTATCACACATAATGTGATAGACCTTGAATATCCGTAATTGGTAAACGTGATTAAGAAGATGTTTGAAGCTTTTTGAAGCGTTCTTTTAAATGTTGTTTAGAATATGCAGCAGGCAAGTGATAAGTAAATTATTTTTACCTTTCACATAATCGTATTAAATGCGTTTTATATAATATATTAAAAGAATAAAAATTGGTTAAGTTTTTCATGTCCGAATCATTCATTGTCTACTGTTCCTACATGTTCGAAACGACTGATTGCGGTTGCTCGATATAGGTTGCCTTTCCAACTTACAAGCATCGACCGATTAGTGATCATAGAGCACAAAAGTGGAGAATACAATATAAAACTAACATTAAGCAAAACATTGAAATTTTCCCTTGAATTATTTCAGTATCAATGCAAACTCGAGACAAGTTAGATATCGAAAAATAATAGGGACGTGTAAGCGCGGTTTTGCTTAAATATACCCGTATATGCAAATATAACAAAAAAAAAAAAAAAAAAAAAAAAAAAATTTACTGATAAATGTGCATACATCAAATCAGTTGTAGGTGTATGGCTGTGTGTTTACGTATATTGCATCCAGAAATCAGATAAAATTAAAGAAAAAAAAAAGTGTTTCGCTTTTTTTTTTTCTTTTTTTTTTTCCGTAAAAGATAACTTCAATCAGCAGAAGTGATAAAAAATATTTTTGAAAATTTTGTTAAATAACGTAAGTGGGAAAAAGTTGAACGTATGCATTCTTCAGAAACGAGAATCATAGAAAAATGAAGGAAAATAATGTCACGTTATATTTTATATAATTGATGTGTGATTAGATTGATTGATATGAACGGGGCGAGCAATCAATAGAATGTAAAAGAAGACCGAAAATTGAAATGATTAAGACGAAGCGCTTCTATTGTTCTTAGAAAGCAAAATAATTAAACTAAAATAAATTGAAAGAAAAAAAAAAAAAAAAAAAAACAAAAAAGCAAAAAAAAGAAGCGCCAGTTAACGTTGCGCCCGAGTAGAGAATTTGTCAAACTATCTCATACACCACACATCCACCTAACGCAACCACACTTACTTATAAACGTTTATACAAATTCACAGGGCATTTAGTTTATAATGTATCGAGTACTTGTGTTGTTGTTATTGTTGTTGTTGTTATTGTTTTATTTATTTATTTCTAATGATTTTGTTGCTAGTAAAAATCTCATAGCAAACAATGATTGTCTATTGTCTCAAATGCAAAAGCAACAACAAATCGAAATGTGTGCGCTTGTGCGTACGCGTATACATGAATAAATAAATGTTTGTACACTCGTCGTCATTTAATGTTAGAGTTAAAGTGCATGCCGCGCCATTTAGTTCTGTGTCAATAATTTTGCAATAAAAGGACTTTGTTTATTTTATCTCACTCGCTTGTCATGTCTTCAAAGTATCATAAATCTTTCTACAGACGTTTGTATGCTACACATATATATATATATATATATATATATATGCGTACATTTAACCATTGAATATGAAATGGTTTTTAGATTAAATCCATTTTCTTTTCTGTTGTTGTCTTATATTATTATTATTTTATTTTATTTTTTTTTTTTTCATTTTTTGGGTGATAAAATGAGTGACAATTTGATTGGAAATCTGTCGGCTGTAAGTCGTGTTGTCTTCCTTAAAAATGTGCTGTGCCTTATACACGCACAAGCATATACCGTAGTCACTGTCCATCAACAAGAGCAAGCAAACATTTTATGCCATCATTATGATTATGTCAAACAATTATGGTAATTATAATGATCGTGTTGACAAGAATACGAATGCTCATGATGATGATGATGATGATGATGATGATAATGATGATGATGATCATGATGATGATGATCGTGTTGATTATGACGATGATGAGAAGTAAGATTATTATGATTATATAGTGAAGTTGACAGTGATGTTATCGTTGTTGCTGCTGTTGTTATTGCTTTTGATGAACATGTACACTTACAATTACAATATGTTCTTGTTGTTGTTGTTCTTGTCGCAGTGTAGTCCAAACCGAGTTTATACAAAATTAAATTAAATTCAATAAAAAAAAAAACATACACATGCCTAAAGCACGAGCAAGAGCAGTTACCGAAATGTCCGACCTATCACACTAACCAAAGCATAATATTAAGGAAAACAGTATTTAAATTTTATCATATTCTACAAAAATATTACATCAAGAATATTAGATTAAGTATAATACAATAAATAAAAAGAAAGAAAACCTTTGAACCATCATTCCATTTCATCCAGAAGTAGAGCGAGAATTCATCGATCACTCGATATATCGATCGCATATCTTATCATACATATCGTACATATAGAACATCATATTTTCATAAGAGATTTTCAAAAACATAAAATTCCTTATTTAGCCTACAAAGCTATCATAATTAAGCAGACCCCGCAAAATGATCAGTTTCTGGTAGCTTTGGACGAACTAACGAACTCATTTCGCAGCTTTTCGAGCGTGATAAGAAAAAATTTGATGCCAGTTTTCCTCTTCCAGACAAAGTTTCAATGTTGAGAGTGTAATCTCAACTGATGTCCCGGCAAATGCACATTTCATGGACATGTACAACTAGATAACGAGTATATGGTATTGCTATGGCTTAAAAACATTTTAAAATACATTATATATGTGGTGGGTGTAATAAAACAATAATTGAAAGCATGTTATAAATGAGTAGAAAGTGAAAACTTGTTACATTCAATCCAGATCGAATCTTCTAATCCACAACATATGCTGTTTCTTACTGTAACGCTCGCCATATTAGTTTTGTTATTGCACTTATAAACGTGTTGCTGGCACTATAATGCATATACATGCATTCTTGAGAAACTTAAGTAAGGCATGTCTGTGCCTCTGTTGAGAGATCACGTACACAGAGCGTTACCTGAAAAAGTTAGTTGAAATGGTTAAAAATATTATCAATCGAACAGACTGACAATTCGCATTTACATACATACATACAAATTAAGGTGCGTATATATCTTTCTATATGTACTTTTTGTCTCTCTCTTTTTGGTATTCATTAATGACCTGCTGTGCACAATAGGGAATCGTATTTACTCGTCTGCAGAGGATAGCGCGTTATGTACCACTAGTTTTCCTTCACCAAGAGACAATGCAACACCGAACTTTGTATGATGAGAGGCAAACTTCATAAAGATCTGATATTAATAACTGAATGTGGTCAGACAAATGGAGTAAACCCCAACGCCACCCAAACAAGATGCTCAAGAAAAATAATCAACTTTTGCATGGAAGATGTACCCGAAGCGTCGAAAATTGTTATCAAAAGTCTTAGCTTTTTTAGGGCGCTGCAGCTGATATCCGTACTATCCGGCCAAAATTAGAGTGGAATTCGTAAGTGTGTAAGGGTGGAAGCCTTTAGATCCTGCCTGAAGGCTATCAACCGAATATATCGAAGAGCTTCGATGCTCATAGGTGACGAGAATGCATCCAGACCTTTCGACGGCCTTGGGCATTGTGGTAATGTCGACTGCGCTTTGTTCATGCATAGGTATATGCAGGGGAAGTATTCCGTATGGGCATAAAGTGGGCTGGGTGTTGCTTACGCAAGGCAAGTGTTTTAGAGAGATGAAAGAAATCTGTCCATCAATCAACTACTTTCGCAGGGTTACTCGGCTTTCTCAGCGTTCTCAACCATATGTCCCGTGGGCATACACATACCGTATGATTTGGCGTTTTTTAGCCGCCCAGTGGTCTTTATCACCGTGCCAGGTTTCTCCACTTTCAAGTCGAACGTACATAAGTACTATTCCCCCCTCTCCTCTTTATATACCTATAATCCTTTCAGATCGTTATCGTGCTTACACGTAGAGATGACATCGCACGAGTATAAACATACCGAATTTACATATGTGTCTTTGCTAAACGATGTATTGTCTTAACAGTTGTTCGAGTCTTTGCTGAGACAATTGATGATTGAGCGACATTGAACAATGAATTGAATGATTATAACTGTCAAAACAAAAATGAGAGAGAATGAAAACATAAATTAAAAATGAAATCAATTTGATTAATGGTACGATCGATTCATCCACACTACTTGGCGGGATAAGTTTTAATGACCCTAATAGCTTCTCTATGCATTCTATGTTCCTTATGTTCATTAAGCTGAGTCAATAATCTAAATATAATTCTGAGCTATTTAACCCGTATTCTCAATATTGGATCCTTTCAAGTCTATCAAACCGACTGTGCTTAATATGTGCGCCATTGCCTATGTCGTATATTTAAACTACCGTTTAATCTTAAGATTTCATTATGATTCGAAAATTAATTGGTGTTGTTTACTGTATCGATTGCCAAGCTTTTGCATGTTTGCGATGTCTTAAGGGTTCACTTGCAATATTCTGGTTCTTGTTTTTTTTTTCCTTCTTAGTTATTTATACATGAATTATTATTTAATCATTATTGTTATTTATTTATTTTTTTTTTTCTTTACTTCTCCTTATGTACTTTATACTAGTTTTTAATATTAATTAGTATAAGAGTTACTTTTAACAATCAATTGAACTCGCCTGTGTATTTATTTTAGTTGAGTTTCATGTGTAAGTAAAATAAAAAAAAAATAAACAAACAAATAAACAAATAAATATATAAAGACATCTTCAATTTTCGAAAGAAATCTGCAACGTCATATTTATGTACCTATACGTAAATGTCGTCGCAAGAAAATTTCAATTTCAATTATAGGACCAGATTGAGTCTGTGTCCAAATACAAAGAGTTATTACAACTCAATGCAACTTAACTTGTTGAGTGAAACTTTCGCTTTTCCTTTCCAAGGGTCATTTATTAACCGATTACAGTTATGTTCAGAAAAATCTCAGATTTGAAATCTTTTTGACCGTTGATGAAAATTTTGAATATAATTTCACGTAACACACTAAGTTATTAGGTTTGCTTCTAACTGTACAAATCTTTTTATACCCCTCACCGAAGGATAAGTGATGTATTTATTTTGTCGAAACGTTTGCCAGAAAGGCCAGAAGGAAGCATCAGAGACCCCATAAAGTATCAAATTTCAGAACGATTTGAGCTTGTCCGGATGTCCGTCTAGGCATCTATCCGCCTGTATAATGCCTGTTGTAAATATTCTCTTGGCCGCAAAAATGAAGCTATCGACTTCAAGTTTCGCAGAAACATTGATAGTTCTTGCATGCAGATTGGTATTGAAAATGGGCCAAATCGGCCGTACGACTCGGCCACAGCATCACGTAAACTGGGAACACATTTGTTTTCCAAACGGCATGAAAAACTAGTTCTTTTCTCGTTACTCATAGACTATAGCAAATAAATGTACAAAAATTTGAGCGCATATTCTATGGGCGGTGCTGGCGGAAAAATGAAAAAAATTGACCACGCCTATCCAATGTTATTGTTTATCAAATTCTTGGCCAGTTTCAAATTTGCAATACACCTGTTCGTCCGTCCATCTGTCTGTTTGCGCAATTTTGTAGTATAATATGGTAAACATTCTCCCGTTAGCGAAAATGAAGATATCGGCTATAAATTTGCAAAAGAATTTGGGCCCACGCCATACTGTAGAGGATGAAAACTTTGTTTTTTTTTACCTCTTTTGCATTTTTTTTGCAGAGTAAACTGTATAGATGGGTATAGAAGATTCGCTCCCGACCAAGATTAACTTTC